TACAGTGACCCAGCCAGCAATGCTGCACTGGATCGCCCCCACATAGCGTGCACATTTGGATGTTGGAAGTTGTTGAAAAGATGTTGGAAGTGGATGTTGGATTCTTTTTTTTGAAAATGTTGAAAGTGGTTGTTGGAAGTTGTTGGACGCATTGGGTGAGGTCATTGTTGGACGCATTGCTGAAGGTTAGTGATGACTATTATTCCTAGGCGACCTCACCCCCCCTGGCACAGGGACTCCAAGCAAATTCCAGTATTCCTGATGAGCATTCAAGAAATGTATTCCTGAATAGTTATTCCTGGCTGTAACCTGGAACACTGAATAATAAGTTAAGGGAGCCCCGATGAAAAACATATTGCTCGAAGAACTTGACTAGCCTGGCAAAAAAGCAGCACATTCGCTGACGCACCGCCTCTCCCCGATTTAACACGTCTTGCATGTAGGGGCTGCTGGCATCGCTACTACTAGGTGACAAACTTGACAAACTGCCTGAGCGAGTGGTCAGCGTTCCATACGTGCCAAACAGGCTGGCACACACTGGACAATTGGAGCAATCAAACATTAAAGAGTACCGGTGACAAATGATTTGCAACTGAAGGGTTTCCAGCTACAGCAACCCTAGTGGTTGCTTTTCATCAGGTGTTTGACAGCTCCAACTGTAAAAAGTAAGAAAAATGATTTCATCCCGGACAACGTGCAGCCTGGCCCAGTGGTTGCCAGGGCCAGGGAAAATCACCGCCCGGTGAGAACCCGCAGGATAGATTAAAAAACTTTGCGGGCATTACATAGTCACCAAAAAGGAACTCTGCAGATGGAGTTCCCAGGCGCAATTGCGCAGTTCGGATGCTGCAGCAGTCTGCAAATGTGGTCTTTGATAAGCTTTGAGGACATAACTGTGCCGAGTTCGTACATACTTGAGTCATGACCACATTCATCTGCTTCTGAGCTTCAGAAGGACCGCGAGACTACGACTAGATCATCTCAACTCTGGGCTTCCTTGGCTGAAGGAACTGCGTACCCGGCTGTACCAAAGTAATTCCTACTTGCGAATGGCCCTGATAGGTAGCCTTTCTGAATTCTAAACGGCGATTGGCAACTTCTTGTGCAGTGCACAAGTATTGAAGGGATTTCTGGTGACTTTTGCCCATTTTGCCCAAGTCTCTTCTTCTCTTTGGAACCTCTCTCAGCCTGAGCTTTGGCCTTGATGGTGTCATTCTCTGGAATCCCGTTGAGGCTGCTGGCAGCACAATAGCTTGCGACCTCCTGAGGTCAACGGGACCGACAGTATCACCGACGGTTTTGTTCTGTGCTTGAACATTCTTATTCTAACTGCATCACATGCATGTCATCATCACACACCTTTCCAAAAATTTAGGTCCAAATGATAGGGTACTGTAAGTTCTCAGCTATCTAAACTTGGACAAGGGGACCAACATGCGGAAGCACACTTCTTGATTGCTTTCATCCCTCAGGTGCAAACTAGACGACGAGTGGCCCGAACGCATTTTTCATCACGTAGGAAGTCAGAGTGCGAGTTATCTGTTAAGTGTGCAGTGTGAAGTGTGAAGTCGAGTGAGTTGAGGTAGTGTGTGGGTTTCTGTGCGTGTATCTATGTCCGTGTGGAAATGAGTCTGCGTATGTGTGTGTTCGTGTAAGTTGAGGCAGTGTGTGGGTGTCTGTGTGTGATGCGGCCTCCCAAACCCCCCCACCGGCGGCCAAGCGGTAACAGCCCAGCTCATCGTCGTGAGCATTTGGGCTGCTGGTAAGGGGAGAAGCAGCGTGCACGGCGCCAGGAAAAGCTAACGGAAAAAAAAAGAACCGGAATGAGGACAGAAAAGTGCCGAGGCCGGTACGCCAGAAGTGTCTCGAAGCAGTGACCTGTCAGAGGAGATGAACGAAGTAGCGCGCAGGCCTCCCAAACCCCCACCGCGGCCGTGACAGCCCAGCTCATCGTCATGAGCATGTGAGCTGCTGGTAAGGGGAGAAGCAGCGTGCACGGGTGTAGGGAATCTCACTGAAAAAGCCCAGCTGGAATGAACACTACCAAGTCACCAGTTCTCGGCTTCCGAGAGCCCAGCTACTCCGCGTACTGAAATTGTGCCACGAAGACACCAGTTCTCAGCTTCCAGCTCCACAGCTTGCTCCGCTGCTAGACCGATCGCACTCTGGCCTGCAGTTCGCGCACTCGACACGCACGATCTCCGCAAAGGGT